TTTGCACTTCAGCAGTGCCCCTCCTGAGTTTATTGCCGCGGTTGTGCAGGAAACTGACTGTTGCAGGGTGTGACCATTCCATCTCAGCGACGCTACGTGTATTATTTTTCGCATTTGAGGAAGCGCAATCTCAATTATCTGCCACTTCGTTGTGAACTCGTCGGCGTGTATTTTGAGCGGCCACCGAGACTCAGTCGTTCGTTTTTTCTACATTACTTGATTTTAATTGCTTATGAATACATTTTCGCGTCTATGTTGATTACTGAACGGGAATTTATGAGGGTCCAAAAATTATCTCTTTTTGCAAGAAAATCTGTGCAAGGTTTTGCTAATGGAAAGGAGGACGTGAAATTGAGTCGAAGGGGGCTACGATCAGCAGCGTGAGTGCAAAGTTTAGCAGGGTAAGTGTGAAATTTCACCAGAAAGGGACGGACAGAAAATTCGATAAAAAAGAAATTAAAATGAGTCGCGAGCGCTTAGCTGCTTCAGACGCAAGCGAAGTGATATGAGACGCATCAGCTTCTACACAGTAAGCCAGGAGCTGCTTAGAAAGTGGGCGCAAAATGAGAAAAGAGTGCTGCTTTGGACTTAGCCGCAAAAACTGTTTGTATGTGGCATGCATGAGGAAGAATGCCTGTGAGACGATACTAAGTTGCGTTGAGGAGCAGACTGGGATGAAATTAGCCATACATGGGATATTTCAGTCGGCTGAGTGCATCGGAAATATCTAGGATGCGTTTTAAATCTATTTAAGAAGGGTCGAGCATAAGTGTCTTTAGTTGAAATGGGGACATTTAGGATGTTCCTGTGTTTGCTTAGTTATGCCCTGTTCAGTTGCCAGCTGAATTTCTCTAGAGCCAGTGATGTTAAAAACTAGAGGTCAACAGCAACTGCTACAAATTATTAAACGTCTACACTTTGACTACTGGAGATCTTTTTGGATGAGTCTAAAGTGTTCCACTTTAGAGCAGTATAGTTCAGAAATGTCGACGTAACGGGAAATAGAATCAAAATTTGTTGCTGGTGATTCAGATTTCTTTTTTCCGTTATTACCGAACCTCCAAGATAAACAATGGAGAATCACTGTCGCAACAGAATCACAAAGCAACTCGATCACGAAGCGCGTCCAAAACATAGAATCCACAAGGACGTCCACCCAACCAGAATGCCCAAAAAATTTTTAGCTTTCACGATACTCCCAAGGCTAGCGAATTTCCTGGCGTATAAATATCCCGATTTATTTTCCTCGATGTACATCTCAAAGAGGTATCAATACAGAAAAGCATATAATATCACAGGGAATATGTAATGGCTTGCTGATACGGTATTGTCGTCCAACCAAATCCATATTTATCTATTATTAAAATCTTCACTTTGATAATATTATCAAAATAAAGTTACATTCGTGCGTGGCCACATAGAATGATAACCATTTGACACCAGCTTAATGCACTCATGATCGGTAATGATATCCAGTATTCATTCCGGATCCTTTTGCCGCATCGACTACTGTTGTTTGATCATGATTACATCCAGGAACAACACGATAACAAAATCCAGTAAATATTTCGGGACCTTTTGCGGTTCTGACTTGCAGTAGTTGCATCAGCAGTCATAATAAATTAAGTTTGAATGAATAAGGAAGATTGCGTTTGACAGAGGTGCTTCTGGTAGCTTTCGTTGCAGTCATTTCGACCGCTCCTTCTATAGTCGCATCCGCTTGCTTTCCTGACGCAGCGGTTTCTTCACATTTTGTTGTTGCTTTTAGTGGGAAGAGAAAGTTGATTGAACGAAGCAAAATGCTCCCATTTGGCATTCGTACCGAAGCTGTTTGGTATTCATTTTCTGGCCCTGGTTGCAAGCCAACCGTTGCCCCGATTTTTCGCGCTTTGTTTGATAAACCATCTTCTTGAAATAAAACGATTTCACTGAGCCGTGGAGTTCGCTTGACTGAACTCCTTGGTCCAATGTTGCGTCCGCTGTTGCAGTAATGCCAGATAACCATTATACCAATGTTGCCAGAATTTATCTAGGACAGTCAGTGTTTTCCAGCACTGACGAATCAGTCGCTTTTTTCGCGTCTGGTCTTCTTGACTGTTTCCCGGTCTTGCTGATCTCCACTGGTAGTTCCAAATCCGCATTTAATTACAAGAATTCTATTAGGCGTAATGGTTTCGCCGCATCACCAGCGACATATGCATAAGTGGCCTCGTGTTTAATATTCCTTCTACTTCTGTTACCAGTGTTCTCAATTTCTGTTCGTTTAGCAGTCTTCCCCTTGTCGTTTTCCACTTTGCTTGTTCTGTCATTCCAAGAAGTTGTTTGTAAATCCCTCTTCGCTAAGGCGCATGCTCTGTAATATGTTGCCATATAATTCATTTATTGCGGAAAAAATCCTAAATCGCTCGTCGTACCAGCTTAAACTGTGTAGCGTTGTAATTTATGATCTCGTCCGCAATCCCTCTACGAACTGTGTGCCATCTGAGAGAAACCAGGAATGCCTCTGCTGATAGTTCTTCAACTGTCTTTAAATGATTCACTTTTGTTGAGAAATACATAAATGGGTAAATTCATTCCTTCTGAGTTGAAATCCCATTTTTTGTGGTAACCGATTCTAAATCTGAACCATCGGATTGGAAAGCTCGCGTTCATCCAGCTCCTGTCGCCGGATAAGGAGATGGTAGAGGGCAGGAAAACGATCTAGCCAACCATCATCTACACTTAATGCATTCTTTTAGTGCTTTCTTAACTGTTGTTTTTCTTTGAAAAGTCTAAAATCGCGACCATAATTTGGCTAGGGTGGGGAAGTCCCACTGTGTTCTGCTCCATCTTGACTAAAGATTAACCGTTTCGTTGTTCTGTTTATTTTTGGTAGTTATTTTAGATTAGTCGGCTTGATTCTCGAAATCGACCTTTGCA